ATATTGAAATTGTCAATAAACCCTATCCCATGATTGAGGCATGCCGATGTCAACCATGTATTTAGCCCAAGGAGTCTGCTAAAATATTAAATTATTTTCCCCAAGGTTGGAATGGGGCCTGAGATGAAAACATGTTGTTGAAAGTTGTTTATTTTCTTCAGTAGCATAGAAAAATCATTTTTCAGGATCTCAGAGCCAGTTTTCCTTTGTAGAATGTCAAAAGACCCAGTGTGGATAATAATCTGCATGTTGCTTGGATGTGTAGAGAGAATAACTGGCAACATTTCTGTTAGCTCTCTGACCGATGTGTCAGCCATGGTTAGATTTTCAGTCTTTGCCATTCTGATATGCATGGTTATGTCATCCCCAATCAATGTAGTATCTGGCTTATCAAACGTGGAGTTAGCAAAGTTTCTTCTTTCCCTCATCCTATCAGTGGTTTTAGGGCTATTTCTTAGATTTTGATTAGCCCTAATGCTAGTGTTGTAATTAGCTTCCCTAGGTTCATTTACACACATTTCGATCCGAGTCAGTGGTTCGTACCTGTTTTGCAGTGTAAATTCAGGTGGTGGATTGAGGGTTGGTGCTCTCTAATTTGATTTCTCGCTGGATTTGCCTCTGCAGCGCACAACTTCAGACCAAGTCCCCGCTGGAGTTGATGCCTTCGGTCTAGCCCCGGTGCTATGCCAATAAGATGTGTCATTGGGAAAGGCTGGTTTGAAAGCCTCTGCGGTTATTCCAGTGGCATTAGCACATGTCCAGGGGAGAGTGTCAGCCAGGTCCGTGACCAAGTGGTCAAAATTTTAAGTAATCCCTTGTATACCAATCTGTGTCTGTCCGTTAGCATTTGGTAGCTCGACCCCTAGAGTAGCTGCTACAGAGTCAATGAATTGTTCACTCTCACGTTTTTCAAGCTGTGTTATCGTCTCATTCAGCCGTTTGCTCTGAAATTGCTCTGATCTGTTCACCAGTTTTGACTGCGTTCTATCAAGTTTAGGGAAATCTTTAGAGCTCTCTAGCCTTAGGTTAGCTTGTTTTGCTATATTAGCCTTAGCATTTGTTGATTCACCTACCGGACAAGACCCACAGTCCGACCGGAGGAGCGCTCTGGTGACTAAATCTTCTAAGCGGTTGATCCGTTCCTCCAACAGCTGTCTTAGCTCCTCCATCACAACGTGATTGGTTTCCTCTAGTAGCTAGAATCCTTAGCGCCGTGGCAGGGAATGGTTATGCGGAGGCAGCGGACGAGTGTTAGTAAAGGCAAGATGAAATCAAGAATAGTCTGATGGGTGACAATATTAGCCTATCACTTGTGAATTATATATTATCACTTGTGAATGATGCCCAGCATAAGAAACAATGCCTTTTTTTGCAAATGTTTCTAATCATAGTCACACACATTACATTTACATTTTACATTTTAGTCATTTAGCAGACGCTCTTATCCAGAGCGACTTACAGTTAGTGAATACATATTTATTTTTTTATATTTTTATATTGGCCCCCCGTGGGAATCGAACACACAACCCTGGCGTTGCAAACACCATGCTCTATCAACTGAGCTACATCCCTGCCGGCCATTCCCTCCCCTACCCTGGACGACGCTGGGCCAATTGTGCGCCGCCCATGAGTCTCCCGGTCGCGGCCGGCGGCGACAGAGCCTGGATTCGAACCAGGATCTCTAGTGGCACAGTTAGCACTGCGATGCAATGCCTTAGACCACTGCATGTAGTCTAGCCCATAGGCCTATATGTTTTGATAAGGTTTGTGTCACAACTAAAGTGGCCAAATAACTTCCTAAAATTAAACACATGAATCCACTTTACAAGGGGTGTAGAGCCTAACTGGCATACATAAGCAGCACGTGAGTTTCAAGTTTGGGGAAGATAATTTTCACCATAAAAATGTACCTTTATAATAAAAGCATTACATGCATAATTGCATTTGCGGTCATTTTTGATATTGGTGTTTTCTGCAAATGGAACATTCACGCTTATAGCCTACTACCACGTGCACATTGCTGCTCTTATGATGTGAAGAAATAGCCTAATAGTTTATCAACATTTTAAGCTAAACGTTCTGATCTGTTGCCTCAGCCACATTGCGGAAAAAAATGTTTTTGATGCAAGTGGTTGTATTAATTTGTGATCTATCGCATCCCACAACTGTCCCAGACTATGTTTGGAATATGTATTTCTCGCACAGAATAGAATAGGTCGACTTTTGTACTATGGAGGATAGTAGATTGACATAAGCTAGTGCTTTTGCTGTTCGTTAGGCCTACTCATCTTGTTCGCTGATGAAAAGTAAATGTGGTCAGTTCTTCCAATATCTTCAATATGCACCTCGAATTGGACGCATGCAGTTCCGTCCCCGATGTGTCTGTCTTCACTTGTAGCCTGTGAGAAAGACCCTATCACGTGATGGAGAGACATGTACGTTGAGCACCAATACGTTTTATCTGTAGTTTCTCTTCATTATTTATCTTCATATGTCAAGGATTGAAAAATATTTGCCTGTAGATTGTCAACTTGATTCATGATGATGATTGCTAGCTTGCTACCTAAGATTTTGAAAGTATGATGTTGACATGATCAGTCCAATCAAAGGTACTGTAGATATAATGTGATTTGACGTCATTCTATCTGTGGTCAATGACCTTGAGCCTTCTTGGATGGGCACTTCTAATGTAACGCTATGGCAGCACCCAAGGGGCTAGAATTTTCTAGCTCTACCCTTAGATTTGGCGGTGAAGTAGTGTCCCCATGAGTGACAGAACACTGAGCCAATCACGACGCAACTAGAGAACATTACCCAATCACGGCGCAACTAGAGAACATTATCAAGCCCTATGCGCCGTATTTTCCGCTGGCTGCCCCTACCACAGAAAGCACTGAGCTAGGCTGAAACACCTGCATTTTGGAGCTGCCTTACTCAAGAAAGCAATAAAGAGACCAAGTTTGTATGCAGCTTTATTAACAATTATATATATTTTTTTACATTGTTTGCAAACTGATATGCGACACATATTAAAGGTGGGGTTTTTTTCCCCCGCTAAACAGGTGGGGCTCAAAACAACATCATCATGAATCAAGTCGACAATCTACTGGCAAATCTTTTGTTTTTTAATTGCTACTCCCACATTACACATTCACACAGCATATTTTCCCCATTCTACACTTGACAAGCAGTTCCTTTATTCCACCACTTGGTACTGTGTGTACGCATTGTCATGGCTGTGCGTAAATTTACGCACACTTTCAAGCAAACATTCATATTGATACATTTCAAACTTTGCGTGAAAATGATCCCACGCATGGTTTATGAACAGATTTGTGCCTACGCATGATTGATAAATGAGGGCCCTGCTTCCTACTCTTTTAAAGTGGTCAAGCAGATATACATCCTTCATCTGTTCTGGATTTATTGATACAGTGCCTTCAGAAAGTATTCACTTTTTCCACATTGACCGTTTCCACATTTTGTTGTGTTACAGCCTGAATTTAAAATTGATTCAATTGAGATTTGTTGTCTCACACAATAGTCCATAATGCCAAAGTGGAATTATGCTTTTCAAAATGTTTGCAAATTAATAAGAAATGAAGTATTCAACTCCTTTGTTATGGCAAGCCTAAATAAGTTCAGGAGTAAAAATGTGCTTAACAAGTTGGACTCACTCTGTGCAATAATAGTGTTTAACATGATTTTTGAATGACTACCTCATCTCTCTACCCCACACACACAATTATCTGTAAGGTCCTTCAGTCGAGCAGTGAATTTCAAACAGGTTCAACCACAAAGACCAGGGTGGTTTTCCAATGCATTGCAAAGAAGGGCACCTATTGGTAGATGGGTAAAAAAAAATATATTGAATATCCTTTTGAGCATGGTGAAGTTATTAATTACACTTTGGATGGTGTATCAATACACCCAGTTACTACAAAGAGACAGGCGTCCTTCCTAACTCAGTTGCCGGAGAGAAAGGAAAACGCTCAGGGATTTCACCATGAGGCCAATGGTAACTTTAAAACAGTTACAGAGTTTAATGGCTGTGATAGGAGAAAACTGAGGATGGATCAACAACATTGTAGTTACTCCACAATACCAACCTAAATGACAGAGTGAAAAGAAGGAAGCCTGTACAGAACATGCATCCTGTTTGCAACAAGGAACTATAGTAATACTGCAAAAGCAATGTATGGCAAAGCAATTAACTTTTTGTCCTGAATGCAAAGTGTTATGTTTGGTGCAAATCCAATACAACACATTACTTAGTACCACTCTCCATACTTTCAAGCATAGTGGTGGCTGCATCATGTTATGGGTATGCTTGTAATCGTTAAGGACTGGGGAGTTTTTCAGGATAAAAAATAAACGGAATGGAGCTAAGCACAGGCAAATTCCTAGAGGAAAACCTGGTTCAGTCTGCTTTCCACCAGATACTGGGAGATTACTTCACCTTTCAGCAGGACAATAACCTACAACACAAGGTCAAATCTATACTGGAGTTGCTTACCAAGAAGCCGGTGAATGTGGCTGAGTTAGAGTTTTGACTTAAATCTACTAGAAAATCTAGGGCAAGACCTGAACATGGTTGTCTAGCAATGATCAACAACCAATTTGACTGAGCTTGAAGAATTTTGAAAATATTAATAGGCAAATGTTGCACAATCCTGGTGTGGAAAACTCAGAGACGTACCCAGAAAGACTCACAGCATTAATCTCTGCCAAAGGTGCTGAAACTTATGTAAATGAGATATTTCTGTATTTAATTTTCAATGAATTTGCGAAAATGTCTAAAAACATGTTTTTTACTTTGTCATTATGTGGTATTGTGTGTAGGTAGGAAAATGTAATATATTTAATCCATTTTGAATTCATGCTGTAACATAACAAAATGTGATTCTTATTATGAGCTACCACCAGGGTTACCTTGGTGACTTTAGACAGTTGTTTAGCACCACTGACTTTTGGCTTGTGGTCTGGTTGTGCCCTCCAGGACCATCGTGCCTTGGAAAGTGTTCCGACAGTGCCTTCACGAAGTGCATCACATCAGCTCTGGCCTGGAGGCCATGGCCCTTAAGTCCACCATCGACCTCACCTGCAACGACTACATATCTGTCTTTGAGTTCGACATCTTCACCAGGCTCTTCCAGGTAAATTTCATTTGTTCATTTTCTCCGGCTTTTTTACATCTATTTTTCTCTTTTAGTAGAATTCTGGCGTGGGTGTATTGTCTCATTTACAGGAAAACTCTCCCTCGCCTCATTTCATCAAGCAAAACGAGAATGGATATAGCTCAAACTCAAACATGTAACCCATGTCTGTGGAACACACTCGTATTATTTATTTTATCACGTGCTAATGTTGTAACCCCTAGAGCTTCCATCAGCTTGATGTACTTCCATTGGGCCACCAAAGCCAGGGACTATTGAAAAATGTAGCATTGTTTTGAATAGATATGACTTCATGACGGGTGGGGGGGGGGGGGTTGTCGTTGAGTGAGTCTCACTCAGTTAGGCTAAACCCCCCCCCGCCCCCGTGGTTTGGCCGTGTTCAGCTGATTCATTGGCTGTGAATCCACGGGGAGCTGGCACACTAACTAGCCATGAGGAGTGACCACAACTGAGACAAAAAGGCCACAGTGCTTTATAAATAAGGTCAAGCAAGTCATGGAAACTCAATGCAGTTTCACAGTGAGATGGAAATGAACAGTAAAGTAACAGAAAGCATGCAGAGTCATTAGATGTTTATTTACCTAGCTCACAAAAAAATTTTTACACAGTGGCCATTTGGCACATCACACTGAAGAGACTCAGAAAAAATAATTTGACTGCACCTAGAACTTGAACCTCACTGATTTTTCTTTTATTGCTTTTGTCCCCCCCCCTCCCCACTCCCCACTCCCCCCCCCCCCCCCTTAACGTCCTTGATCTGCAATTTCTAGCATATGCAACACCTGACCAGTACTATTCTGGGAATTATTTCAACTGTTAAGATACTTTTCATCCGACCTTGAAGGGCATTTTGATGTACAGCAAAGGATTGGGTTCTCTCTGACTCTTTTGCACAATTGTTTTGTGCTTTTTTGTCATATCCAATTATGATCTTATCTCATCGCTGCGCCACTCGGGAGGCCCTTCTATGTGCACTATACTATCAGTAATTGGGTTTTCTCCCGGCTCCAAGAAATAGTGCCCTTGAAGTTCTGAGTAGATTCATACTCTGTACAAGTGACCCTGGTTTAGGACACTGTAAGAATGGAAGACAGGATGGAATCTGATGTTTCCTCATCTTGTGATGTAATAAAGTGTGTGTGTGTGTGTGTGTGCGTCACTTAAATTATTGTGTTATTCAAGTGGATCCACACATCTGTGACCTCCAAGAATTAGGAGTCCTTGCATGCACAATGTTTCATTGTTGATCCAAATGAAGTATGTGTGTGTGTGTGTGTGTGACTCCTCTCCTTCTTCTCTCCTCCCTATCAGCCATGGGGCTCCATCCTGAGAAACTGGAACTTCCTTGCTGTGACTCACCCTGGCTACATGGCTTTCTTGACCTACGATGAGGTTAAGGCACGGCTACAGAAGTACATCAACAAACCCGGCAGGTATGTACATGCCACAGGAAGGAGTGTTGGTGTGCATGTGTAAACGTGTGTGCATGTGTGTGCGTTCGTATATGTGGTTAGGGTATGTTGGGGTCTTACCGGAAACAGGTTTACACTCCTGTCCATCTGTTTATCTGTGATTGATTCTCCGGGCCTCTTGATTTACTCTCAGACGGACTACTTCTGCCTGAATTTTTGGCTGTGACAAGGAAACATTTTCTTTTTTTAAAGCCCCTGGCATGTGGGCAGTCTAGATATGGATAATTGTGTTTCTGTTTATCTTTTATAATAGTACTATGTTAGTAAATTAGCTAATTCTGAATCTAGCCCAATGTATTGCAGAATACCTTGCATCAACATCATTCAACATTGCTTTGCATTGGAGTAGGACCAACTGATGCAAATGATTCTAGAAGGGCCAATTGTTCTGTGCAGTTAATTAACGAATGAATCTCCTCTTGTCACTTGCTGCATTGTCTGTCTGCTGTCCCACTTGGTGGTTACATTACAATTGCAGGAAGATATAAATCTACGCCCAGGTAGCTGATAACAACAAGGCTATTGTACTGTACTGTACTGTACTGTGCAGTACAGTACAGAACAGTACAGAAGATGGCGCCGGAGAAGATGGCTGCCGTTTTACAGCCCTCTAACCAATTGTACTATTATGTGTGTTTTTTCGCGTTATTTGTAATTTATTCTGTACATAATGTTTCTGCCACCGTCTCTTATGACCAAAAATAGCTTCTGGATATCAGGACAGCGATTACTCACCTCGTATTGGACAAAGATTTTTTCTTTAACGAGTCGGACGCGAAGGATATACTACAGACACCCGACAAGGCCCAAATCCCCGTCATTCGCATGAGAAAGAGACGGAGATATCGTGGACGTAGGTCGGGGTGCCTTGTAAGGATCCGACGGCGAGCGTGTAAACTGCCTCTTCTATCAATCCTATTAGCCAATGTTCAAACTTTTGAAAATAAATTGGACGACCTAAGATTACGGTTAAAAACTGTAATATCTTATGTTTCACCAAGTCGTGGCTGAACGACAACATGGATAACATACAGCTGGCAGGATATACGCTACATCGGCAAGATAGAACGGCTGACTCTGGTAAAACAAGGGGTGGCGGTCTGTGTATATTTGTAAACAACAGCTGGTGCATAGATTCTAATACTAAGGAAGTCTCGAGGTTTTGCTCGCCTGAGGGTAGAGTATCTCATGATAAACTGTAGACCACACTATTTACCAAGAGAGTTTTCATCTATATTTTTCGTAGCTGTCTATTTAACACCACAAACCGATGCACGCACTAAGATTGCACTCAATTAGTTGTATAAGGCCATAAGTAAACAGGAAAACGCTCATCCAGAGGCAGCACTCCTAGTGGCCGGGGACTTTAATGCAGGGAATCTTAAATCCGTTCTACCTAATTTCTACCAGCATGTTAAATGTGCAACCAGAGGAAGAAAAACTCTAGACCACCTTTACTCCAAACACAGAGACGCGTACAAAGCTCTACTTGGCCTCCATTTGGCAAATCTGACCATAACTCTATCCTCCTGATTCCTGCTTATAAGCAAAAACTAAAGCAGGCAGCACCAATGACTCGGTTAATAAGGAAGTGGTCAGTTGACGCAGATGCTAAGCTACAGGACTGTTTTGCTAGCACAGACTGGAATATGTTCCGGGATTCTTCCGAGAGCATTGAGGAGTACACCACATCAGTCACTGGCTTCATCAATAAGTGCATTGATGACATTGTCCCCACAGTGACCGTACGTACATACCCCAACCAGAAGCCATGGATTACAGGCAACATCCGCACTGAGCTAAAGGGTAGAGCTGCCGCTTTCAAGGAGCGGGACTCTAACCCGGACGCTTATAAGAAATCCCGCTATGCCCTCCGACGAACCATCAAACAGGCAAAGAGTCAATACAGGACTAAGATTTAATCGTACTACACCGGCTCTGACGTTCGTCGGATGTGGCAGGGCTTGAAAACTATTACAGACTACAAAGGGAAGCACAGCCGCGAGCTGCCCAGTGAGACAAGCCTACAAGACGAGCTAAATCACTTCTATGCTCGCTTCGAGGCAAGCAACACTGAAGCATGCATGAGAGCATCAGCTGTTCCGGATGACTATGTGATCACACTCTCCATAGCTGATGTGAGTAAGACTTTTAAGCAGGTCAACATTCACAAGGCCGCAGGGTCAGACAGATTACCAGGACGTGTACTCCGAGCAAGCGCTGACCAACTGGCAAGTGTCTTCACTGACATTTTCAACATGTCCCTGACTGAGTCTGTAATACCAACATGTTTCAAGCAGACCACCATAGTCCCTGTGCCCAAGAACACTAAGATAACCTGCCTAAATGACTACCAACCCGTAGCACTCACGTCTGTAGCCATGAAGTGCTTTGAAAGGCTGGTCATGGCTCACATCAATACCATTATCCCAGAAACCCTAGACCCACTCCAATTTGCATACCACCCCAACAGATCCACAGATTATGCAATATATTTTGCACTCCACACTGCCCTTTCCCACCTGGACAAGAGGAACACCTACATGAGAATGCTATTCATTGACTACAGCTCAGCGTTCAACACCATAGTGCCCTCAAAGCTCATCACTAAGCTAAGGACCCTGGGACTAAACACCTCCTCAGATCCTCAAGAAGTTCTACAGCTACACCATCGAGAACATCCTGACTGGTTGCAACTGCTCGGCCTCCGACCGCAAGGCACTACAGAGGGTAGTGCATACGGCTCAGTACATCACTGGGGCCAAGCTTCCTGCCATCCAGGACCTCTATACCAGGCAGAGTCAGAGGAAGGCCCTACAAATGGTCAAAGACTCCAGCCACCCTAGTCATAGACTGTTCTCTCTGCTACCACACGGCAAGCGGTACCGGAGCGCCAAGTCTAGTTCCAAAAGGTTTCTTAACCGCTTCTACCCCCAAGCCATAAGACTTCTGAACAGCTAATCATGGCTACCCGGACTATTTGCAAACGCCCCGAAAAGAGATCTTCTCACAAAACCGGTTCTGAAAAGCTGAGACTCTCACGAACCCGAACGTGTCGTCCGAACTCTTACAATTCCAACTACGAATCCTGCAAGATACTGTTCTTAATTATGTAATATAATAATAATATGCCATTTAGCAGACGCTTTTATCCAAAGCGACTTACAGTCATGCGTGCATAATTTTTTTTGTGTATGTGTGGTCCCGGGGATCGAACCCACTACCCTGGCGTTACAAGCGCCGTGCTCTTCCAGCTGAGCTACAGAGGACCACAATTATAGAACTACCTTTTTTGCCAGTCACTGACTCAAAGCCACAAGAGGGTAGAACATATTTCAAACGTTGCTTGTTAGGGGGAGGAAGTTGCAGAAACGTTGGAATGGTTTAGTCTACCATCTGAAGTCGGTCCCTTCGGTGTGCTTAACTCTTCACAGGTCTTCTCATGAAAATGTCTGTAAAGTCTGAACGGTTTGAGCTATAATAAAAAAACTCTCATGAACATGTCATCCGTTTTGGTCTACGACACCCACAAGCTTTGCAGGACTCGTCCGAAGGTCATCTGGTGATTGTGCGGTAAGAATGACTGGAAGTGAATAGGGTCTTCTTTTTTTTATCAGCTTTGATATTGCAAATAGGTTGTGGCTTCCATCAATGGAATTGTCTGCATCATTTCCAATCCCCCATATATATTTTTGTAAATATAGTGGGGGAAAAAGTATTTAGTCAGCCACCAATTGTGCAAGTTCTCCCACTTAAAAAGATGAGAGAGGCCTGTAATTTTCATCATAGGTACACGTCAACTATGACAGACAAATTGAGAATTTTTTTCTCCAGAAAATCACATTGTAGGATTTTTTATGAATTTATTTGCAAATTATGGTGGAAAGTAAGTATTTGGTCACCTACAAACAAGCAAGATTTCTGGCTTTCACAGACCTGTAACTTCTTCTTTAAGAGGCTCCTCTGTCCTCCACTCGTTACCTGTATTAATGGCACCTGTTTGAACTTGTTATCAGTATAAAAGACACCTGTCCACAACCTCAAACAGTCACACTCCAAACTCCACTATGGCCAAGACCAAAGAGCTGTCAAAGGACACCAGAAACAAAATTGTAGACCTGCACCAGGCTGGGAAGACTGAATCTGCAATAGGTAAGCAGCTTGGTTTGAAGAAATTAACTGTGGGAGCAATTATTAGGAAATGGAAGACATACAAGACCACTGATAATCTCCCTCGATCTGGGGCTCCACGCAAGATCTCACCCCGTGGGGTCAAAATGATCACAAGAACGGTGAGCAAAAATCCCAGAACCACACGGGGGGACCTAGTGAATGACCTGCAGAGAGCTGGGACCAAAGTAACAAAGCCTACCATCAGTAACACACTACGCCGCCAGGGACTCAAATCCTGCAGTGCCAGACGTGTCCCCCTGCTTAAGCCAGTACATGTCCAGGCCCATCTGAAGTTTGCTAGAGTGCATTTGGATGATCCAGAAGAGGATTGGGAGAATGTCATACGGTCAGTTGAAACCAAAATAGAACTTTTTGGTAAAAACTCAACTCGTCGTGTTTGGAGGACAAAGAATGCTGAGTTGCATCCAAAGAACACCATACCTACTGTGAAGCATGGGGGTGGAAACATCATGCTTTGGGGCTGTTTTTCTGCAAAGGGACCAGGACAACTGATCCGTGTAAAGGAAATAATGAATGGGGCCATGTATCGTGAGATTTTGAGTGAAAACCTCCTTCCATCAGCAAGGGCATTGAAGATGAAACGTGGCTGGGTTTTTCAGCATGACAATGATCCCAAACACACCGCCCGGGCAACGAAGGAGTGGCTTCGTAAGAAGCATTTCAAGGTCCTGGAGTGGCCTAGCCAGTCTCCAGATCTCAACTCCATAGAAAATCTTTGGAGTGAGTTTAAAGTCCGTGTTGCCCAGCGACAGCCCCAAAACATCACTGCTCTAGAGGAGATCTGCATGGAGGAATGGGCCAAAATACCAGCAACAGTGTGTGAAAACCTTGTGAAGACTTACAGAAAACGTTTGACCTGTGTCATTGCCAACAAAGGGTATATAACAAAATATTGAGAAACTTTTGTTATTGACCAAATACTTATTTTCCACCATAATTTGCAAATAAATTCATTAAAATTCCTACAATGTGATTTTCTGGAGAAAAAAAATCTCATTTTGTCTGTCAAAGTTGACGTGTACCTATGATGAAAATTACAGGCCTCTCTCATCTTTTTAAGTGGGAGAACTTGCACAATTGGTGGCTGACTAAATACTTTTTTCCCCCACTGTAAGTTAACTTTGAATAAGACCGTAATTGAAACTGTACAGCCTATGGACTTTGTTTGATGTCAGGTTTCATTGGACACTACCTTTGCTGGAAGACAAGTCAGCTGAAGGTGATTGGGCTGTATCACATAATGGGGTTTATCACATAATGTAGCCTGATGGAGACAGTTCAACCATTGATCAGAGTTATTCATCCTCTATCTTTTATGTCAAGCTGTTTCATTCTGTTTGTTCACACACAAACAGATCAGTTGATATATTTAATTAATCCTGTGCCAAGAAGGGACTGTGTAATTAGGCTATACACCACCGTATGCGGTAGTCATTTGGGAGAACGAGTGAAGCAGCAGGGTAAAGTAAGCGGACAGGCTGGTTTTAATTCAGATAAAGTGTTTACCTTCTTCTTTACTAATAAAAGATAAATACACATATAAAATAATATTTCAATTCATGGAGAATTAACGCAAAAAATGGCGACGCGTTCACTGTTCTAATCAATGATAATCAAATCATATATCACCAAATAGAATGTGCTCAAAACGTGTAATTCCAATTGAACATATTTTTTGTTGTTGGTAAAACAGCAATTATTTAGTGACGTGTGAATATCTGACCCAGAATGTTGTCAAATTATTAACTTTTGTGATGCTGTGTTCATGTTGAAATAATAAAGTATATTTTTTCAGTTCTTGAAAAACGGCTTCCATCCGACAGCGACAATATTACTGCTAAATGTTTGATTTGTCTGACCTCCCTGTTCCCCATCTCTCATTCTAGCTACATCTTCAGACAAAGCTGCACACGACTGGGCCAGTGGGCCATTGGCTACGTCACCAACGACGGGAAAATCCTGCAGACCATCCCCCACAACAAGCCCCTCTTCCAGGCCCTCATCGACGGCTGCAGGGAAGGCTTGTACGTAAAAACCTGGGAATTAAGCATTGTATTTTTCTGTAGCACAAGTTGCATTCCATCTAAATTCTAATAAAATACATCTAGAAGCGTTCAAGATATACTGAAAACATCCAAAATACATAATCTATACAGCTAAAAACAACAATGCAATGTCAAAACAAGTTGATTTATCAAATTACCTGATTTTGATAACCGTTATTTTGGACAAAATCAAGGCGTGAATATTCTTGTAAGGCTTTTTGTATAAAAAAGCTTAAATTACAGCTCAATTTGAGATAAATTTGAATTTGCGATTATTTGTGATTAAACACAGCAAATCCTGCGATTAAATTGATTAAATGTTTTTATCATTTGACAGCCCTAATTGAAATACATGCATATTTAATAATTTTATTTTAAATACTTATTTTCTGTGTATTTTAGTATTTTCACATATATTTTAGTATTTGTATTTATTATGGATCCCCAGTAGCTTTTCGGGTCCAGTAAAAATTATGGCAGTAATATACAGTGCATTATAATACAATTCTTTAACTATAAATACATTTTACAACAGATTTCACAGTGTACAGTGCATTCGGAAAGTATTCAGACCCCTTCACTTTTTCCACATTTTGTTACGTTACAGCCTTATTCTAAAATGGATTACATTAATTTTTTTCCTCATCAATATACACACAATACACCATAATGACAAAGTGAAAGTAGGTTTTTAGACATTTTAGCTAATTTATTACAAATAAAAAACAAAATACCTTATTTACATCAGTATTCAGACCCTTTTGTATGAGACTCTAAATTTAGCTCAGTTGCATCCTGTTTCCATTGATCATCCTTGAGATGTTTCTACAACTTTATTAGAGTCCACCTGTGGTAAATTCAATTAATTGGACATGATGTCGAAGGAAATGTCCATAGAGCTCCAAGACAGGATTGTGTCGAGGAACAGATCTGGGGAAGGATATCAAAACATTTCTGCAGCATTGAAGGTCCCCAAGAAAACAGTGGCCTTGATCATACTTAAATGGAAGAAATTTCTAACCACCAAGACTCTTCCTAGAGCTGACCGCCTGGCCAAACTGAGCAGTCGGGGGATAAGGGCCTTGGTCAGGGAGGTGACCAAGAACCTGATGGTCACTCTGACAGAGCTCCAGAGTTCCTCTGTGAAGATGGGAGAACCTTCCAGAAGGACAACCATCCCTGCAGCACTCCCCCAATCAGGCCTTTATGGTTGAGTGGCCAGCCGGAAGCCACTCCTCAGTAAAAGGCACATGACAGCCCGCTTGGAGTCCTAAAGGACTCTCAGACCATGCGAAACATTTTTGGCCTGAATGCCAAGCATCACATCTGGAAGAAACCAGGCACCGTACATCACCTGGCAAATACCATCCCTATGGTGAAGCATGGTGGTGGCAGCATCAAGCTGTGGGGATGTTTTTCAGTGGCAAGGACTGGGAGACTAGTCAAGATCGAGGGAAAGATGAACGGAGCAGTACAGCGAGATGCTTGATGAAAACCTGCTCCAGAGCGCTCAGGACTTCAGACTGGGGCGAAGGTTCACCTGGCTTTGAGACAAGTCTCTGAATGTCCTTGAGTGGCCCAGCCAGAGCCCAGACTTGAACCCGATCGAACATCTCTGGAGAGACCTGAAAATAGTTGTGCCGCCGACACTCCCCATCCAACCTGACAGAGCTTGAGAGGATCTGCAGAGAAGAATGGGAGAAACTCCCCAAATACAGGTGTGCCAGGCTTCTAGCGTCATACCCAAGAGGACTCGAGGCTGTAATCGCTGCCAAAGGTGCTTCAACAAAGTACTGAGTAAAGGGTCTGAATACTTATGTAAATGTCATATTTCAGTAAAAAAAATACATTAGTAAAAATATTTTAAAAAAATAATAATAATCTTAGTCATTAAGGGGTATTGTGTGTAGATTCAACTACTTGCATTTTTCATATTTTTTTACATATCTACTTAGAAGTTCCATGGCAGTTATTATTCAACAGTAGGAAATTACAAATCACACTCACTAACTATAGGTCGTTATCGATAAAACGTCACAATAAGGTGCAGACCATTCGATTTGGCTGCTAGGGGGCAAGGAGACCCCCAGCTCTGCTAAAACCATTGACACGTATTTCAAGGGATTGTTAAATAAATGTTGTAACTATTTGGTTTTAATATCATCACCTCTTGAAGAGCATAGTCAGAACAACACATTTCCGATTATTACACATTTAGCTCTATCATCAGATTTATACAGCTAGTAACTGTATAACTGTAACTGTAGCTCAGCTGGTAGAGCACGGCGCTTGTAACGCCAGGGTAGTGGGTTCGATCCCCGGGACCACCCATACAGAAAAATGTATGCACACATGACTGTAAGTCGCTTTGGATAAAAGCGTCTGCTAAATGGCATATTATTATAACTGCATGCTTTTGTTGATCAGTAAACATCAGTGTAATTTCAAATACGTGTAGGTTAGCCTATCCATTTGGCTTGTAGCTAGCTAGCAAAGCAAACAACGTGTAATTTAGCTTGCTTCATCAGAGATTTGAAGAGCTTGACATTGGCAAGGCCTTTGTCCTGGTAAAGTTGTCAGTCGGACTTCTGTCATCACCACTATATATGGCAAGCAAATCAAACAATATTTCTATATAGCCATGTAGTTTCTCCCCTGAAAGTTAGCTTGTTAACTAGCCATATTTACGTGGGTCCGGTTTCCCAAAATCATCTAAAGGCTAAGTTCATCGTTAGATCCTTCTTAGGAGCATTGTTAAATCTCCAAGCTGTTTCCCAAAACCATTGTTATTAATGTTGCACTTGAAAACGTTCGTAATCTAACGCTTGCCTCTGACCAGCTAAGTGCGTCATTAGATGCTTTTCTGTGCTCCCTCGTCACTTTATACACATAAGATCTCCGCAAAACATAGAATCACATGGTTTATCTGTCTCTATGTGACCACAATAACTTCTGAGCAAAGGTGACTACAAATAAAAAGTTGCCAATGTCTTTGCAATTGATACAAACAAGCGACTAGGGCTGGGTGGTATACAGTATTTTACGATATACCGGTATTGATGCACGGACCGGTTTGGTTTGTTAAATGTGATACGCCGTGTGTAACGTCAATTTTTATAGTTTATTTTGCTACTTGAGTCATCTCTCTCCTCTCTCTCTCTCTCTCTTTCTCCATGACACTTTCCACACAGACCTAGCCCCGCCCCCTGTCACTCAAGGACCGCATTTGTTGTTCCTCGGACCACGATACACTTGCGTTCAGTCTCTGAATGTTCAGAGATAATAGACAGCGGGTAGCAGCAGGAGGGGGGGGGTGTCAATGTAAATAGTCTGGCTGGCCATTTGATTAATTGTTCAGCAGTCTTATGGCTTGGGGTTATTTATTTATTTTTATTTTACCTTTATTTAACTAGGCAAGTCAGTTAAGAACAAATTCTTATTTACAATGACGGCCTACACCGGCCAAACCCGGACGACGCTGGGCCAATTGTGCGCCGCCCTATGGGACTCCCAATCACGGCCGGCTGTGATACAGCCTGGAATCGAACCAGGGGGTCTGTAGTGACACCTCAAAGCACTGAGATGCAGTGCTTTACAACGCTGCGCCACTCGGGAGCTGTTAAGGAGTGTTTAGGCCCTAGACTTGGCGCTCCGGTACCGCTTGCCGTGCGATAGCAGAGAGAACAGTCTATGACTTGGGCGACTGAAGTCTTTGACAATTTTTTGGGGTTTCCTCTGACACCGTCTAGTGTATATTAGGTCCTGGATGGCAGGAAGCTTGGCCCCAGTGATGTACTGGGCCGTACGCACTACCCTCTGTAGCGCAGAGCAGTTGTCATACCAGGCGGTGATGCAACCGGTCAGGATGCTCTCGATGGTGCAGCTGTATAACCTTTTGAGGATCTGGGGACCCATGCCAAATCTTTTCAGTCTCCTGAGGGGGAAAAGGTGTTGTCGTGCCCTTTTCACGACTGTCTTGGTGTGTTTGGACCATGATAGATTGTTGGTGATGTGGACACCAAGGAACTTCAAACTCTCAACCCGCTCCACTACAGCCCCGTCAATGTTAATGGGGGCCTGTTCGGCCCGACCTTTCCTATAGTCCACGATCAGCTCCTTTGTCTTGCTCACATTGAGGGAGAGGTTGTTGTCCTGGCACCACACTGCCAGATCACTGACCTCCTCCATATAGGCTGTCTCATCGTTGTCGGTGATCAGGCCTAACACTGTTGTGTCGTCAGCAAACTTAATGATGGTGTTGGAGTCGTGTTTGGCCACGCAGTCGTGGGTGAACAGTGAGTACATGAGGGGACTAAGCACACACTCCTGAGGTGCCCCAGTGTTGAGGATCAGTATGGCAGACGTGATCAAGCAAGGAGGTTGGCAGAGCCAAGCACAAGCTAGTGAGATCCTATTGGCCCATTCTAGCATGCATCTGCATATTTCCGTTAGAGAACGCCTACTCTGTGAAGTGCGCGTGTGCAATAACTCAATTCGCCTTTGCACTCCTTCTAAACAACAACATTTTTTTTACAACTTTGGCAAAGGGTAAAGGGTACAAAACTTAGTCCACTCTGTTCTAGCATATTCTAGTTTTGAGAACAGAAAACTGTATTGAGATCAAATGTTTGATCGATGAGAAAACTTGCAGAATGTCGGTCAAAATCCATCTCCTTCCATCTTCTTCCACTGCCGGCCACTGGTGCTGTAATTTCTAACCGGTTCACCCGATATGGATGATAATAACCTAAGATTAAAGCTGATAGTCTGCACTTTAACCTCATAGTCATTGTATCATTTCAAATCCAACGTGCTGCAGTACAGAGACAAAACAACAACAAAAATTGTCACTGTCCCAATACTTTTGGAGTTTACTGTATAACTCTGATAGAGCTAAATGTGTGCAATTGTTTTGCATGGAATAATCTGCATTTTGTAGTTCTGACTATGCTCTTCAAGATGTGATGATATTACAAACGAATAGTTAACATTTATTTAACAATCCCTTGAAAACAGCACGCAGTTGTCAATGGTTTTAGTGGAGCAGGGAGTCTCCTTGCCTCCCAGCAGGTAAATCGATTGCTCTGCACCTTATTGTGAAGTTTTATTGATAACGACCTATAACATTTTACATTTTAGTCATTTAGCAGACGGTCTTATCCAGAGAGACTTACATGAGCAATTAGGGTTAAGTGCCTTGCTTAAGGGCACATCTACAGATTTTTCACCTAGTCGGCTCAGGGATTAGAACCAGCGACCTTTCGGTTATTGGCACAACGCTCTTACCCACTAAGCTACCTGCCGCCCTAAAATGTCAGAAATAAGTGAAAGATTTAATGTGACTGCTAAAGCAAGTCACACTAATGAAGGCAGTTTAACGGATCAATAATCCAGGCTGTAATCCCTCGATCCTCTCTCGTCTCTGTTTTAATAGGGAGGAGAACTGAGATGTAGCAATTTACTCACTTTCTTATTTCCTCTCTGTCTTGACTGCTCAAGCGACAAGGGATGATTACCTCTGTAAATGTCGTTTGATCTCTCTCTCCACACTTGCGTGGTTTCGGTTCAGAGCGCCATTGGGAGACGAGCAAAGGTGGCCCACTTCTGCAAATATTCTAATGGAGGATTCCTGGGATACAGTTATGCATGAAAGCACATTAGGCTCAATGCCTGTCTGTCGGTGGACAAGGCAGTCAGACCATGGGGACTCAATTTGGAGGTAGCACTTAATTTGAAGTGCACAGCCATTACACTCTTCCTAGTGCTGTCATAAGAAAGCTATCGGGGTAAAATACAAATTGCAGAAACAAATGACCTACAAATGCATTAATGTGCCATGCTCCATGAAACGTATTGAAAAAGTATTCTGTGTCATGACAATGCCCAGTCTCTTTTAAAGTGGTCCTAATTTGAGATGCCATGCAATGTCATTTGTATGACTGTGTTATGAAGATGTTTGACAATGGATGTTAAAGTGTAACTAAATTTAGCTTGTTGTGCCTTCTGTGACATCTCTGTGTCATTCTTAGTTTTTGTCAGCAATCTGTGAGGAATGCTGTAATATCTAAGCTGTCTCTCTTCTGTCCTCAGTTACTTGTTTCCTGACGGACGCAGCTACAACCCTGACCTCACAGGCTTGTGTGAACCCACTACCCATGATCACATTAAAGTCACACAGGTCAGTGTGTGTGTGTGTGAGAGAGAGAGAGAGAGAGAGAGAGAGAGAGAGAGAGAGAGAGAGAAAGAAAAAAAAATATGGTTATGTCTGCAACTGCAGTCTGTGTGTATGCAGGGGCGCAACTTTCACTAGGGACAGGGGGACGGGACGGGGGGGTCATGTCCCCCCCACATTCTGAAATTGCATTTTTGTCCCCCCCCCCCAGTTTTATAATTTCACTGTGATACAAAAAGTGGCGCCGATGTGCTTTAGGACCATTGTTTTCTAAAGCCAGTGTGGCATGTTGAATTTGTTTTCTTCCGATGAATTTGTCTCTAGCGTTTGAATGGTTTGGGCTATTTATATATTATGAACCCATCACTGAAGCTAACACTTTTTTTGACAAAATCGCACACAATGACTGGGGGAAATAAATTGAATGCAATTGTGATCTTCTTCCTATGAATTTGGCTGTAGCGTTGGAACGGGCTATTTAAGCAATAAGGCACAAGATGGAGTGCTTTATCCTGAATACAGTTACAGGTAAATGGCATTGTCCAGCCCAATGTGAAAGCGGAGGGCCAGTAAACCAATTTACCTGTGACTGTATTCATGAAACAGCACTGACTCACGTGCCTTATTGCTTTTATAAAACATTTACCACCATATTAAAACAACAATGAATGACACATGTTCATTAAAAACTTTATTTTGATAAGTAAATTCATACAATTTAATTATTCCACCAGAGGACATAGTCCGGACAGAATCTGGTATTTAGTTTGTTTGGTCATGTTGCTACAGACACACTCCAGTCATTAATTATTTTTGCATGTTAAAGGACTGGTCGTCCATTCTAACGAAAGTGGTTGCTATGCAGGCTGACAAACGTTCTTTTCACTTCCTAGCTAGCTTGTCAACTTCAGCTAACTCCGTCACGTCAAACATTCCACCTGGAATGACAGTCCACTAGCTGCACACTTATGGAGGTCAAATTCTTATGGAGGTGCAGTGATAATTCAGATGGAACTGTTAGTAGGCATAGTGCGCCTGTGACGGACAATACAGCTCAGCTTGGAACGTTGCTCCTCCAATCAGCATCCACGATCCAAACAACCAGTTTTATAATGGCAATTATGATCCCAACCCTGAAAGCTAAGACTCTCAGGAACATACAGTGCCGTGAAAAAGTATTTGATCCCTTTCAGATTTGTGCATATTTTTGACACTGAATGTTATCAGATCTTCAACCCAAACCTAATATTAGATAAAGAGAAACTGAGTGAACAAATAACACAAAATATTGATACTTATTTCATTTTTTTAATTAACAAAAGTATGCAACACCCAATACCCCTGTGTGAGTAAGTAATTGCCCCCTTACACTCAATAACTGGTTATGTCACCTTTAACTGCAATGACTGCAGCCAAATGCTTCCTGTAGTTGTTGATCAGTCTCTCACATCGCTGTGGAGGAATTTTGGCCCACTCTTCCATGCAGAACTGCTTTAACTCGGTGACATTTATGGGTTTCCTGAACTTTCCAATTATTGTCTGATGCATTTCAATCACTTCAAAGCATACTTCATTTGGCATTACCTGATTTGACATAAGGCCAGATTCAAAATGTTCATAAAATACTTTTTACACATTCGTTTCGGATACCCCCAAGAGTCCTAAAATAGAGAAGAAGATTAGTCTGATGGTCCATGTTATCACTATCTTAAAACAAGGAAGTAATATAATAAAGAAAACACTTAGTATTCCGAGGAATTCACTGTACTTCAACATTGTAAAGGTCTACCACATCTACTTCTGGCTCTCATCATCCCTTAAAAAGTGGTTATCAATCAGAGCTTGTCAAATCTGATAGACCAACATCAATAACTCCTCCTTCAGATAAAGGCCTATGTAACTTCTGTTCTGAGCACATCATTTGATCGATAATATGCTGAGGTTATGAAACTATATCTTGTTCAATTTGAGCTAACGTAACCAAAAAACTATGGGGGGGGCAAACTCACCATGTTCAAAATTACATGACCAAAATCAACTCAAGGACTTGGTTTGAAGTTACTTGGACGTGATTAGGCCACAACTTTTGAACGTGGTGAGCTTGCCCCTATCACCCTTAGTTTTTTGGTTATTTTGGCTACAGTTCACTCAAGTTGGCAGTGGCGTTTGAAACAAATCTGAACCATGGATGACTGTCTATCCTGGCCCCATAGATGACTTTCTGGGTAAATGAAAAAATGGGGAGAAAGTAAGGAACTTGTCTGTCGGTCCTGCGTTAAAGAAGATTGTGATAAATAAAAAAGTATACCAGTTTTTAATTTAAGGACCAAAAATTGACAGCTGTGCCATACAGATTGCAAAATAGTTGGGAAGAGATTTTCGATGTACCGATTCCATGGCACATGGTTTATGAACAGATACACAAAACAACGCCGGATTCAAAACTTTGAGTTTTTCAATTTAGATTATTCTACAAAATTCTTGCAACCAACAGAATGTTATATCAAGGATACAACCATCTCAGCTCTGCAGATTTTACCTGCGAAGAGACAGAATCATTAGATCATTTGTGTTGGTACTGTCTATATGTAGCTTGTTTTTGGTCGCAGGTTCAGGAATGGCTGAAGAATTGCAACATTTACCTGGAGTTAACTCTGCAAATAGCACTGTTGGGTGATCTGAAAAGTCATATTCAATCGATCAATAATATAATAATACTCTTAGCAAAAATGTTTATCTTTAATTTACAATCTGTGGAAACTATGAGAATACAAAAGGGTCTAAACTTTTGTGAAACATCACAGCACAGTTGAAAAATATATGGCAAATAAAAATCAAAACTGGATGGTCTTCAGAGATAGATGGGAGAGGTTGAGGGTAGACATCAACACTATGAAATAACACCAAAAAAGTGTTAAAGAAATCAAAATATATTTTATATTTGAGATTCTTCAAAGTAGCCACCCTTTGCCTTGATGACAGCTTTGCACACTCTTGGCATTCTCTCAACCAGCTGCATGAGGTAGTCACCTGGAATGCATTTCAATTAACAGGTGTGCCTTGTTAAAAGTTAATGTGTGGAATTTCTTTACTTCTTAACGCGTTTGAGCCAATCAGTTGTGTTGTGACAAGGTAGGGGGTTATACAGAAAATAGCCCTATGTGGTAAAAGACCAAGTCCATATTATGGCAAGAACAGCTCAAATAAGCAAAGAGAAACGACAGTCCATCAATACTTTAAGACATGAAGGTCAGTCAATACGGAGCATTTAAAGAACTTTGAAAGTTTCTTCAAGTGCAGTCGCAAAAACCATCAGGCGCTAAGTTCAAACTGGCTCCCATGAGGACCGCCACAGGAATGGAAGACCCATAGTTACCTCTGCTGCAGAGGATACGTTCATTACCGTTAGCAGCATCAAAAATTGTAGCCCAAATAAATGCTTCACAGAGTTCAAGTCACAGACACATCTCAACATCAACTGTTCAGAGGGGACTGTGTGAATCAGGCCTTCATGGTCGAATTGCTGCAAAGAAACCGCTACTAAAGGACACCAATAATAAGAAGAGACCTGCTTGGGCCAAGAAACACGAGCAATGGACATTAGACCGGTGGAAATTTGTCCTTTGGTCTGGAGTCCAAATTTGAGATTTTTGGTTCCAATCGCCATGGCTTTGTGAGACGCGGTGTGGGTGAACGGATGATTTCCGCATGTGTATTTCCCACCATAAAGCATGGAGGAGGAGGTGTTATAGTGTGGGGGTGCTTTTCTGGTGACACTGTCTGTGATTTATTTAAAATTCAAAGCATACTTAACCAGCATGGCTACCACAGCATTCTGCAGCGATACACCATCCCATCTGGTTTGGGCTTAGTGGGACTATCATTTGAGAGTGATGGAGTGCTGCATCAGATGACCTGGCCTCCACAATCCCCCGACCTCAACCCAATTTTGATGGTTTAGGATGTGTCGGACGGCAGAGTGAAGGAAAAACAGCCAACAAGTGCTCAGCATATGTGGGAACTCCTTCAAGTCTGTTGGAAAAGCATTCCAGGTGAAGCTGGTTGAGAGAATGCCAAGAGTGTGCAAAGCTGTCATCAAGGCAAAGAGTGGCTTCTTTGAAGAATCTCAAATATAAAATATATTTTCATTTGTTTAACACTTTTTTGTTACTACATTATTCCATATGTGTTATTTCATAGTTTTGATGTCTTCACTATTATTCTACAATGTAGAAAATAGTAAAAATAAAGAAAACCCCTTTAATGAGTAGGTGTGTCCTAACTTTTGACTGGTACTGTGTATATATATATATATATATATATATATATATATATATATATATATATATATATATATATATATATATATATATATATATATATTTATATTATATTTATAAAATGTTGTATATATGGGAGATTGGAAATGATGCAGACAATGAAGCCACAATCTATATGCAATATTAAAGCTGAAAAGG